TAAGTTTGATTTGAACAACAGAAACATTTAATATCCTAATGCCCATTGACCACACAGTGATAGTTCGTTCTTCTTCTATTCAGAGAGACAAGTACTGCTCTCATGTCCTCCATTTCCAGATATCATCAGTCTTTGACCCTCACAAGGAAACGTGTGAAACCTGCACAAGCAATTCAGCTATAAGCTTAAATACAATAAATACTAATGGCAAAACCAGCACTTTCCAGATGAAGGAAGCTGATCACTACACTGAAAAAAATCAGTGTGCACAACTCTCTGTGCACGGCATGCCATGTACTGCCACAGCCAGTCAGCCATGAATGTCGGTCACCATGTTAAAATTAAATATGCATTCAGTGCATAAAGTCCCCCACACTTGCTCCTGCATCTGTATGTCCTAGCACATTCTGCAGCACATTAAGGGAAGTAAAAACACATTTGTGGCTCCATATTTGTCTTTGTTCAATCTTTAATAGCTGACTTTACTATTTTTCTTTTTTTTTTTTTTTTGCTGGCCATGTTTTTTTAGAATTAATTAATTTATTTTATTTTACATTTTCCTTTTTCCTTGGTCTCAAGTAGACAGGCAGTGCCCACGCTGCTGATCCTGACCGCAGTATGTTCAGAGGCATCAAATCCCAGCCCTACCAGCTCTCTGGGGAACCTCTTATAGAGCACTTTTATGTGTTCAAATTAATGCAGTTGTTCTTTTCAGGTCAGTAGTTAAAGACATAAAAGTGCAATTACACATGAATGAGCAACACCATTATCAAAGAGGGCTGTTAAGAGTTAAAACTGAATAAATTTCCAATGGAAGGTGCTCCACTTATTAATTGATTGATTGCAATTGTTATTCCGGCTATCACAAGAAACTAATAGTCAAACCTTATTTAATGACCATGCCACCAAAAAAGAATAATGTAAAAAAATGCAGGGTGTGAGTGTAAAGCCTTAAAAAAACAACTTAGGTTATCAGGTTACTTTTATTGTAGTTTGTTCATAAAAAGTTAGTTTAATTGGGTGCATGAAACAAAGCGATTCTTCCATTTTGAAGGAAGATGCTATTCTGATCACTTAAAACAGGATGCAGTGCTTTTGAAGTTTAGCCTAAGTAATTCTATAAGAGGGCACTTGCGTTATATTGACCTCTATTTCCCCTATTAGAAGTTTATGAGAAAACAGTCTAAAAGCATCAGCAATAAAAAGAAAAGGGAAAACATACAGGACACGTATACACAAGTGCATGTGCTTTTTCTACCTTAAAAGGTAAAAATGATGGCCTTTTTTTCCTTTTATATATGTCTATGTTTATAACATATAAATGTGCTCAAGCCAAAACCGTTCCATTTTAGTATATCCTCAACCTGCAATAGAACACAGAAATACACGTGCACTTCACAGTGTCACCACTGCATTTGCTCAACACACAAGGTGCTGGAGGGCAAGGATTGGAGCTGTGTGTTGGCAGCAGATGATGGATTGGGGAGGAGATCACCTATTTGTTGAGCAAAGGCAGAGATTTGCTCTCCTGACATCCACTGTCAGCGACCAAGTTCAGTGATTGACACAGTTCTGTGTGACAACACGAGCGTCATAAACTCTACACAGGATCTGCCTTCTTATGTGGCCTGTTGTTTAGAAATGCTGTATTGGTTGTGAACATCCTTAATTTTGTCTTCGATTCAACATTTATTGTGACACAGACAGAAATGAATTGAATTTCACAATAGTCTCACAGTCTTTTGTGAATTAGACACAAAATCAGTGTCTTGATAAGTCCTCCAGCATTGGGCGAACAGATCAGTGCTGGAAGACTCCATGGAACAGTTAAACGTGTTTTTCAAGAAAGGGCTCAATCTGTTTACCATCAAAAGCAATATTTGTTATATTTGACATATTTTTGTCTCGGCTTTTGCTTAGTGTTTCTTTAGCCTTATAAACATTTTTAAACTGCCGTCACATTTTATCTAAAATAGATCACCTCACAACATCCAGTGGATGTCAGTAGTTTGTATACATACATATATATATTTGTATTCATGTATATGTTTGTGTGTATATGGACAGTTAATTTGTGCTGACATTCTCAAACCTCATTTCATCAACTCTTCAGTGAAGATTTGAACTATTGGCCCTCTAGTTACATGACTTCTGATAAGGTGAACTAGTAATGTAAATGATCGAGGTAGATAAGGTAATTAGGTCCTTGTTTCTGCCAATTTTTAGCTGTATGCATATGCATTAATGTTTTTTTTTTTACATGCCTCTTTGCATCCGCATTTATATGTCAGAGTGCAACTTAACATTGTTGTCAGCCTCCCTCTGATGCAGTGGTGTCCGGCAGGACCAGTGAGCATTTAGGTGCTTTGACGTTAGAAAATATTCCCATTTTCCTCCTGCTTCCCAAGTTTCTCTCTATTGAGCACTGAGCTGCACTGAGCCTGAACCAACTAAAGTCAATGAGACCATACAGAAGAGACCAGTTATAAGATTCCTTTTTTTTCCACCAGACGAATGGAGAAATCCCTCTGACTTTTTGATTGAACACCATTCTATCTACAGTAATTGCTTGACTGTTTGTGAGCATTTCTGAACCTCCTGATGCCCCTCTGCTTGTCTCACTGTCTTACAGTGGTTACTCTTACTTACAGCTGTATCTTATCTGGATGAACCGGATGGTTTACTGCACAGAACCATTTTGGAAGTCCTATGTAGAACCTTTTCAAAATCTTTTTTTCATCACAAACACTTCATAAAACCTGAAATAGCCAGGTTAACAAAGTGTTTTAAAAGCTTTTGGTTACCAGTTTTACTATTTGAACCTGCGATCGGAGGGCATCACTAATTCTGAACAGGAATATTGGTTCTGAAATTCATTTGGTATCCTGTTTTTATTTTTGGAAGTTCTTCACATGAATCTACCTACGTATGAAGAACAATACACTTCATTTGAGAATATTCAATATTATAATCTGACACCAGAGCAAATCAACCATCTATTATGTCCAACATATCTCTTCATTTAAAAGTCCTCACAACACGTATTATATCACTCTCAAAAAGTCATTAATTTAGCTTTTTTTCTGATAATTAGTTTGCTATTGGCTTTCCATTGCTAATCAAACTCATCCCCATGTAGCAATAAAGAAAAAAATAAAGCACTGATCATCAAAATAATTGGCTGCATTCATTTGTTCTGCCTCCCTGAATTTCATATTGTTTTCCTCCAATGGTCATGCAACCTGACATTGAAGATTGCAGTGCCGTTTGAAGCCATAGATTCATTCGGAGATGCTTAGAGCTGCTCCGGGGAAAAGGTAGAGTGGGCTAGGGTGGTTCAGAAAAATAGCTGTGTTATTGCAAGGTGAACAAACTAATTAAGATGTTTTCTCCACCCTCTAAACAATCAACAAAATGATTTTACCACTGATCTCCCTCTGGTCACTATCTGCACACCCAGCAAATATGCAGGCCAAGCAGTTGTTGTTAATGGAAGAATATCAGGATTAGTTTTGCGTGTTGAAGTAGGCATTATGCTATATGCTTTTGTTATCTATTCATATCTCAACGTGAGAGGCCATGGGAAATATAGTTTTCATGGATGAGATGGAAGAAAGGAGCCAATTAAACTATTACCCAACATCTCGTACTGTCTGTCATGCAACCAAGACCTCTCTTTATGTCCACCTGCATTGCACCACAAGCATGAACCAGCAATCAGTAACGTCAACAGGAATGAACAGTCCAAGTCAATGTGTCCCTTGTTCCATTTCATGACAACAAACGTCAAACAAAAATGTTAATTCTTTAGTATTTTCTTTTGTATTTTCATAATTTCTCAGATGAAAGCAGTCACAACACTCTACCTATGGCCAAATGACGAAATGACCTAAAAGGACCATTGTGGGTAACACTGGAATGCAGTAAAATAAAGTCAGTGTGAATTTAGGAGTCCTCACCGTATATCTGTTCTTTATTGATCAAACATTAAGATCAATACTATTAATACTGTTTAATAATATATTATAACTAAAATAGCAAAAAACTTAACAAAAAAACTAACTAAAAAGCATTTTTTGCCAATGAATTTCTTTCACTCATTCTAACTCTTGGATGTGTTCATTGCTACTTCAGCTCCCACTACTGAGCAACCAGTCATGATAAATGATGGTAGGTTTTGGGTGTACAGGACATGTATTCCTATGAGAGCCAAATCGAAAAGTCCTGTTGTAATTTTTTTTCATAATAACTATTTTGCTTTGTCTGTCGGATCGTTCATTTCCCTACTTTGCTGACAGCATCCTGTTGTGAAAACAGTTTGATTTTTGAGCATGGCCTTCTCTTAGACAAGCGCTATTCCTCCTGTGGTGAGAAGCAGATTAATTTATTTTTTCTAAACCCTCTGCAAATGAGGAAAGGGGTGAGGAACTAGTGAAGTCCGAGGATGGGGGCCTGTGTAGGTATACCAGCATAACCTATTATCCAAGTAAAATCATTTAATCGGGGCTTTGTGAGACAATATTGTATTTGGCCAACTCTGTGTGGGGCTGGCAGGGCGCCTCATGTATGATTATGTGTCTCATCGTTTTCAGCCCTGCGTCAGTAATCTCTTTGGATGGAGATAGAGAACTTCCAAGCTCTGTAAATAATGCAAATCTGCCACTGGGCTTTGCTTTGTCTTTCTTTCTTGCCATCCATCACTCTGTGGTTTCCTGCCATCTTTTTTGTCTCTCTCTCTTTTTCCCATCCCTTTTTCACATAAGAAAGGATTAAGCCTTCTCTAAACTCCTGCACAACAATAATCTAACCACCCTCAATATCCAACCAGTGTGTGTGTGTGGCAAAAGAATCAATCAAACAAGGGATCTTTTTAAACTAATTCTGGTCCATTTTATCCTTATATGGAAAGAAAAGTGAATGTCTGTAAATATCCTTAACCCTGTATGTATCTTTTTAGAAAGGGGAGTTTGTCAGTCATCCATGATCCTTACAGTGCTCAGCTTGCTATGAATTAATGGATGCTTCAGTGCTAAATTTGATGCATCGTATGGACTACTGTATCAGTTCTAACAGTGTCATATTTCTCTATTCTGCAGAGATTCTTAGTGGGGGTGTATATGTGGACCAGAACAAGTTCCTCTGCCATGCAGACACAATCCATTGGCAAGATATCGTCAAGAATCCTCGTCTCCATCCTGTCGTGGTGCCCACCAACAGCAGTGTCACATGTGAGTAGTCCAACAAGCAGACATATTGTAACATCAACAGTTTTTTTGTATTCTTTATTCAGGGTTGACTATTTATCAGAAGCCTCCTATCCCACACATGTCATCCATTCACCCCTGGAAGCTGCGCAGTGCTAGTTTGGTTTTTCAGGTGTTACACAGCAACTCTTTGGGTTAATAGGGTACAATATTGACTGAATTGCACTTCAATAACACTGTTGGATGCTTTATTGATTGTTCAGAAACATCAATATGGCAGAACTAGAGGTATATACTTTTTATCCTCCTCCACAAAGCCTATATAACCCATAATATATATTTTTTTCTGCTGAGAATTCAGTTCATGATCTGTTCACTTTGCACCCAGAATGAAACTGCTGATCTCAAACAGCGATCACGAGCACAGCTTAGCTCACTGTGATCTAAGTGGTTTTCCACTTGGCTCAATGTAACCCAATTCAATTACCATCGGGCTTCATTAAATTAAAATCAGTTTTTACTTCACTTTTTTCTCTATTCTTTTCGTCTAGTTTTGTTCGTGTCCTTTAGATTCTTGAGATAACCTTAAAGCCTTTTTTTCCACATTTCTACCAATTTTCAAAGGCCAATAGGCTCTTGAATCTATGCGTTTTTCTTACTCTCATGTTTGATTTGATAAAAGTTAAGCAACTACAAGTTGTACTTGTGAAACCAGCTTTACATGGAGCTTTCTGAAACCACTTCCAGGAATATATGTGTAGTTTTCATATCTTACCTTGTAGATAAAGAACAAATCTAGCTTTTTTTATTTTCATGAGGAATAAACATACTTTTTCGCTCTTATAAATTCCTTTTTTAAGAACCATGCACACAAATTCACAAACTCATTTTCTCTCTCACTTTTGTTATGGAGGAATGTGAAAACCCTGCAGATTAGTCATTTGGACATATGAGCATTGTTTGAAGCACAACTGTAGGAAATTGATAAAACAAAGAAAGCGACATCAAAGTAGAAGCTTAATATTTTCAAATGAGACACTCAACAGGCAGTTACAGAACGGTTATTCTGTTTTACTTTTTGGTCTAAAGAATCATCAACCACCTAATAAATAAATGGAAAATGACCACCAAATTAAGCACTGAGCAAAGGTGTCAAAACCCCCAAAAATATGAATTGAGCAGATCGTCAGGGAGATGGACTAAAGCTTAGCTTACATTTAAATTAAATGAAATGTATCTTTCTTTCATACATACACATTGTTGATGTATCTGGCCCCTTAATTTCTGAATCCAAGAACTGTGGGCCTTCGCAGAAACCTCTCTTACACACAGAGGCCTCTCACACAGTGAGAAGGGAAATGATCCAAAAGAGTAACCCCGTCTTAACCTTTTCTTTTCACTTTTTGTTTCATCAAAATATAACCCCTCGTCCCAATTATGTTGCTCTACCATAACAATCCACAACAACTGCTCGTTTAAAGCTATTTAGCCAGCTGGAAGACATGCTATTGAGCACACTGAGCCTGAGATAAACATGCTTAATCTGTCAGGTTGTAGGGGAAGATGGCCATCAGTGATGTAAGAATAAATTAAGTCTCCTTATCTGACCCATTCGTGTTCCTTCACAGACCTAATCTCCTAACACACTTTTATTAACACACATTTATATTCAATCTAGCTTGAAATGCTTGATATTTAAATCTGTTCTTTATTTATCAATCAACTTTATTAAACAAAAACACAGATGACAGCATCCGCCCGTGGATATCTTCTCACCTCACTTGGTAGAGGCTTCCGATGCATATTAAGAGCTAATGATATTGGTATTCTGCTCAATCGCCCTCCTCCCTGCAGCCCTGTTAGTCCGGGATCAACCCCATCTCATATGTGAGTCCTCCACCTCCCCCAATAGATTAGGGGTCTGTAATCCACAACTGAATATATATATATATATATATATATTTTAAACTTTGGGGTCACACAAGTGACCCCATGCATAGATAAGGTGTGTGATTTATTTGTGCTACGGTTTTGTTTTATTCAATGGTTACTTTTGAAAAGCATTGCAAATTTTAAGCTCTCTAACAGGGAGAACACTACCAAAAACACGCTCCCACTCTGGGGTTTCCCTCAAACTTACACTAGTAAAACAGCAGTCTCTGCTTTTAACACCCTTTTTAATTATGAAAAGAGTTGCAGGAAAAGGAGGTGGAACACATTCACTTTAGAATGTTGTGCATTTTAAGTTGAGAAAGTGAAGGATATGACATTCAAAACAAATGTCTTACTGCACATGATAACTGTTCTCTTACAACATAACATATATCCCTGTCAGATAGCTACTTAGGACTTCATAACATTTATAATATCTACCGTTTTTAATGCTTCTTTTCATAAAGTTAGGGTTGTTAACCTCTGTTTCAAACATTGTCCAAGTGCCAGTTTGAAGGGAAGAGATTGGCGAAAAAAGGCTCAGAAAAATTGGAAAAAAATGGATAGAGACCATCAGAAAGTCAAATGCATAGGAGGAATGAATAATTAAGGGATGGCGGGATGATAAAAGACATGAAATGTGTAATTAAGAGGCTCGAAAATTAGGAAGAAGAGAAGGGCAGAACATTCATATTGGACTATAGAGTCAGTCTGATGCTAATAGCTCTCTTCTGGAGAGGCTAATGGATAGAGGACAGCACTTTTGCACTTATCCAGACTCACTTCCTTTCTCCTCTCAGTCAATTACTATACAGTCAATTAAGTCCTCAAAAAAAGAAAAAAAACTAACAGGGCAGTGGCTACAGCTCTGACAGTATGATATTGCTTTCCATTTCTCTGCTCCCCTTTTTCTCAAGCTGATGTGTGCGAAGAAAAATGCCAAAAATAATCATATTTTCACAAAGCAGCTTTTGCCAAAGTTATTTGAGCTTTTTTTCGTGGTGCAGCATATACCACTCAGGGGACATGTGGGATTTCATCAGCTTTGTTGCTTTAAAATAAAACTATATGAGAAAAAAATTAATTGTGTTTTTGTTTTTTTTCCAATTTGATTTAAAGCAGATTTTGAATTTAAAATGATTATAGTTGCCGGAACTTCACAACAGTTTTGGCAGCTGCTTTCCTTGCAGATTTTAGTAGAATTATCCTTAAGTGCTCACAGATATGTTTTCAAAATGCACTTGTGCTGATGAGATTAATCTTAAGCATGTTTTCAACTAATGAAAATATTTTTACATCAACACACAGGCACATGCACACATATATACTACACACAATAGGTGTTTTTCTTAAAAAAAACTCATACTTTTTCACATTTTTCTGTTAAATTTAGAATTAGTAAAGAACTTGGAAACGCACTCAAGGTCAGGATTGTGGGGTTTGCCAATAATTTTGGATAATTTTGGACAATCACCTCTTTTAACTTGTGTGCAGGTCAAAAGTGCCATCGGTCCTGTAACGGCCGTTGCTGGGGCCCTAAGGAGGACCAGTGTCAAAGCTGTAAGTATATGATTATATCGAGATTAACAAACACTTTAAGTCACTGTTTTGGAGTATGGTCTATTTGATTGACAGCTTTGAATTTATGGAAGTGCTTTATGTACATAATGTTTAAATGTTAGGTTTTTATTTGATTTAACTGCCCTTTTTTCCGCTTAACACTAGCAATTTTATGAAATTGTCATAACTTTAATGAAATGCATTTGATCAGTTCTACATTTATCAACGTTTTAATTCAGGGCTCATTGAACATGTAGATTTCAGAATGACATTTACCTTTCATGTGAAAATAGTACCTAATGTTGTCAACGTCTAATTGTAAAACTCCAACTTGGCAGTCATTCTGTAATACATGTGCCTTCTATCACACATTATAAACAATAGTCATAAATGATTTGTAGAAATGGAACTGGACATACAAATTTCATCCATCACTTTCCCTGTAATAAATTCAAACCTAAAATAGAACCCATATCTTCGCTGCAATATAAATCTTATCATATTCATTGTTCCAGTGGGGCGCACAAAGATGCGATCACTAAATGACCATATTAATCTTGTTTGCTACCATTGGCTAACAAGTGAATATGTCACGACCCAGTTTCCACTCGTCTATTTTCTCAGGCTGTCCTGAGGTTGTCCTCAGGTTCTTCGGGGGTTCTTTTTCATTCTCCACTTCCACCTTTGGACGATTCAGAAATTCGATCCCAGGTTAAATGTATTTCTCGCTTTTCAGAAGTCACAAGTCTTGCCAGTTTTAACTTAGACTCATAGGGGCACAACATCCATGATCTGCTTTGAGGCTAGTTTCTATTTATGCTGGGCATCACACACAACTATTCTTACATATAAATATATTTGCCAAAAGGTCACATTCCATTGTAAGAGGGTCTTTTTGCATTTTAATTAGGTAAATGTGCCTTTTGACATAGAAACGGTTTCACGATATTCTTTCCTTTTTATTCAGCTGTAATATCTGCTGTAACTCTCTTGCATATATCTTCTCAGCTTCATCTTAAATACTGATTGCACTCCCTCTACATAAATTTTCTCTCCTCCCTTCATTGCTCCACACCACTTCATGACCACTTCATCTGTGTCTTCAAATCTGGCACATGGTATTTGTTCTGTGGTCTTGATCTCATTTAGATAATAAGGAAAGAAATGTTTGACCAGGGAAGGTTGACAAAACGTCACTGACTGCGTCCAGATAAGCCCTGGCCCTGTCTTCTTACAATTTGTGAACTGTTATCTATCAGTTGGTATTTATTCATTTATGAATGTCATGAATCATTCTGGTCATTTCCCATTTACATATATTAAATGGAGTTATGCCAAAATTCCAAAAATGATCAAATCCCAATGTTGTTCACACAAGAAACAATTTTCTGAGGTATTGACTTATATTTTGGTGATAATTATTTTACAAAAATTCTGCTGGGAAGGCTGTGTCTGACTTTTTTGCGTCCCCTTATGTACATCATACATAGCTGAACTGACTGGGACGTCCGATGTTAGGAGAACATCAATTGACTGTATATGAAAGACAAATCGATGTCAAAATGTGAAAAAAAGAGCGTAAGTAGGTTTTTATGTTCACATTGTTCCTTTTGGATTGGGTCATTTTTTGGGAGGTTAAAAACATAACACTTTACACGACTTCTGATATGAAAAGACACATTTGAAATAAAAAATAAGGTTTAAATAAAATGCAAAATATATATTACACAAGAAGGCATTATAAAAACTGCACTTTTTAACACAATGTCAGTGTACATCTGTTCAATTTGTTTAATCTGTATATGTTATTAAAAATGTACATACAAAACAAAATGTTTAGTATAAAAAGAAATGTTTCCATCAGAAAGAAAAATACATGTATCTGTGAAGCTCTTTTAAAAACCAGGAGTGGAGGAGGAAAATTTCACTTTTGCAAATGGAAAGCAGCTTTAGTGACTGATGCTGCTGTCCACAGCTTGTTCAGATGGTAGCTTGCAGGCATATTTCATGAGATGGATTCCTTCTGCATTTGTTGTCACCAGACTGTTTTTTTTTTCATTGAAGTGAAAGTTTTAAAGCCAAATTGATAAACAGCACTGCGTCTCTCTCTTGCAAGGTCATTTATTTGACAGAGTGTCTTTTGAATAAAACAGACCGTTTCATTTTAGCCCCGGCACAGTTAATGGAATGCTGCTGATGGTACGTTAGGCGTGGGGTGAAGTGTGCATGTGAGCTTGCATGTTTTTTCAGCACTTTGTATCCATCACACTGATAGTATCTCATCAGAGCAGGGCTAAAAAAGAAACAAAGAACGACCACCTAAAAGTAATGTATCCTCACTCAAAAATAAATAACTGCTTTGGGTTCATTGTGCGTAACATAGATTTTATTATCCCTCATAGTCATTTTCAGTATCACAATAAACAATCTCATTCATTTACTCTGTGAATGATTAAATGTAATCTGTATAGCGAATTCAAATATTATTTATAAAAATGAATGTGAATGACCATTTTTCTGTCGTCATTGTATCTTCCCAAAACAAATGAAAAAGGTTTTTACTTAACTTTTGATTTTGCAGTTGAGACTGTTTAAGCTGACTCTCAAACTGTTCTCGTATGTATCAGATACATTTTCTGCCACTGAGTCCAAATGTACGTTCACATATGACCGCTAAGAACTCTGGCACATGGGCATATGGTAGACCATATGATTGCAAAAGGCATATTTGCAAAGGGTGGACAGATGTCAGCAATGACTGCCATGCAATCAGATATCAAATGTGACATATCTGTCAAAACCAGCTATAGAAACTCAGAAACATATACAAGTGATGAAAACCTGATTGAAAAAAGCGAGTAGTTTGCAAAAAATTTTATTTTGAGCTGAACTCTCTGTACAATTACAAAAACTCCCTCCATTCATGCTATCTTGTCTACAAACAATAGCTTTTTCTCAGAGGTTTCCATAAAATGTAGCCTTGCAGAATTTAGGCATTATACATATTCATATTCAAAATATACATCCATGAACCACTTTTGTAAATATCTCAGTTTCATTTGGATTTTTTATTATTTTCCCCCTATAATCCACCCAGAAGTCCCTTTAAATGATAGGCTGCAATGAAAATGGGGGAAAAATGGTAAAGAATGCATTTTCTAAACATCCAAGGGGTGTGAAAACTTTTGGACGAAAAACATATCCTTTAAAATTTACGTCATTTCCACTTGTTTTACTTCCCAGTAACTAAGACGGTGTGTGCTGAACAGTGTGACGGGCGCTGCTTCGGCCCCTATGTTAGTGACTGCTGCCATCGTGAGTGTGCAGGTGGCTGCTATGGACCAAAGGACACGGACTGTTTTGTAAGTGAACAAACACAAGTTCAACACAACTCCAAACCGGACAAAATAAATTACTTCTGCTTTTCAGCAGACTGCATAAGAATAGTAATATTCTTCCCAATTCTATAATATTTTGGTTTTATATTTTGTCTGCAAGTACCATTTATGTGACAATATCTGAAAATGCCCCTCAATTTCTGTATGTATTTTATGAAAGCATACATGTGAAATGTGAGGTCTCTGGTTGTTCACAGGCCTGCACCAACTTCAACGACAGTGGGGCATGTGTTACCCAGTGCCCCCAGCCATTTGTCTACAACCCAACGACTTTCCAACTGGAACACAACCCTGCGGCAAAGTACACCTATGGAGCTTTTTGTGTCAAGAAGTGTCCACGTAAGTCTCACACCCGAACACACACTACACTCCCTGCCCATGTCATGTTCCCAACAAAATGCAACCATAGAACTCATCAATGTCGTAATCTTTAGTATCATATATTGAATTTTATCAGTAGACCATCATTTATTTATTTCATTTACACTTTATAAAGTAAATTTAGAATTTATTATCTATTCATTGCACTGTTGACAGTTAAGACAGTTGGCTGAATTTCTTCTTGTCCTCTCTAACAATGACAGACCATTTTCCATTGTAATGTCACAAATCTAAACTGTTCCTTTGTTGTTTTTATGATTTAAGTGTTAAGTGTTAAGTTTGCTTTTCAATACCTGTGTTCATAGAGAATAGGACAGATGCTCGACTTATGTTGACATTTGTTGGGCCAAAAAAAGCATTCATCACTTTAAAAACTATCTGCAAAGCACAAGACCAGGGATCAAGTTAAGAGCGTGGGTATTCATTATGCCATGGAGGGCTCTCAAAATAACAGAAGCACGAATGAGTGCGTTCTTGTCATTTTAAGCTCAGTCTTAATTCACATTGCTGTCACTTTGAATGAGGTTGATAGATCACATGTAATGAGGAACTTTGGCCTAGCAGGCGTTCAATGTGTTCAAATGCCGGTGCCTTGAGATCCTTGAGAAGAAACAAAGAAGAGGAGAGGAGAGGGAGCCTTGTATTTTTACAAAGTAGTCTCAAAGAAAACTCAAGATGAACAATAACTTCCCATGCTTAGCCTCTGAAGGTAAAGCTTGAGTTTTGTGGATCTAACTCTGTCTCCCATGACAAGACATATATTATTGCCGGAAAAAAAGAGAACATATCTTATCAATAAATTCAGTTTGTCTGTAATAGCAACATTGGTCAAATCGGGAAAGAACCAACCCTACTTGATTCTGTGATTGCCCAGAAAACTCTATCAATTATTTTGCTGTGTGTGTATTTTCCTGCGTGAGTAATCCATCTGTTGACATTTACAATAGCATGTTTTTGTCTGTTTTATTTTCTTCTTTATTAGATAACTTTGTGGTGGACCATAGCTCCTGTGTCAGGGCTTGTCCTAGTAACAAAATGGAGGTGGAGGAGAACCGTGTTAAGATGTGCATCCCATGTACTGACATCTGCCCGAAGGGTAAATTAGACACACTGCATTATATATTGGATTGTGGATTACTTAATGCCATGTACAGGGAAACTAGTATCTGCTTATACTGGGGATTTGCAGTAATTCGCATTGCAGGGGCATAATCCACGTCTTCCTCATCGCATATGTTATTGATAACTGATGCATTTAATCAAGCTAATAGTATTTATTTATGCACTGTGTGTTGCCCAGCATGTGATGGAATAGGTACAGCCAGCCTGCAGGCAGCTCAGACTGTGGATTCCAACAACATTGACAAGTTTGTCAACTGCACCAAAATCAATGGAAACCTGGTGTTTCTGATCACTGGAATAAAAGGGTGAGAAAACATTATCTAAATATTTAAAAGACGCACCAAAATATTGTCAATCTGTGAAAACTTTTGAATATTTATTTCCTTTTGAATTAGTAGAGTTTAAGATCTAATAAAGACCAGACTTGCCATTAAGGTGAAGGCTATTACACTGATCTTTAAAAGGGTATGGTTGGAATGAAATTGACTTTAACTTCAGTGCTTCGAAAGAAAATAAAAGTCAAAGAACAAGGTGGCATACAAACATTCACAAATTGTGACATTACTGACTGTACGAATAATATACATAACATCCTAAATTACAGACCTACTGGTAAAAAAATGACAAAGGCAAGACAAATGATCCCTTCTACAGTCGAATAACCAGAAAGATGTTGCTTTTAACAAAAACACCTGCACAGTTTTACACCCTATAATGAACAGTATGTTTCAAAGCTAGGCCAAGTGGGATGTTTTAACATCATTCAATAAATCTTCCAGCACAAAAAAAAGCCAGATTTCCTTGAGGGTCACTTTCTACACTTGATTGTTCTCAAAACAAAATAGCTCAAAACCAGTCCATTGCACCTCTGTGGCTGACTGCACTGCAAGTTTTAAAACACAGAATGAAGTAAGCTTTCAGCATTCTAATCAGGATGTTAGAAATACTTCTGCATGCCTCATTAAAACCAGCAGTAACTGAACGTGGAAATCAGAGCTGAGGATCCATTGTAAAGGCTTTCAACTAAGACTCAGGATGCATTATCTGGGTGATCAATGTGGACAATTTGTAGATTTACTGAGTGAAATGTTTAAAACTGCTTGGTACATACAACAGTTTTTATTGTTGTCTTTCTTTTTCTTTATAACTTTCCCCTGCTCAGATTAACATTTGCTTTGAATACATGCATCATTTATCCACTTGTAAAGCAATTTTTTGTGTATGATTCTTATTCTTAGAGTTTAACTCAAAATGAATAAACATTGGAGTAGTACAATACAGTAATTAGTTGAATATAGATACAAAAAAATGTAGAATCAAGGGTATATATTTATAATATTTGGAGGGGATGAAAATAATTTACAAAGGAAGATCTGTGGTCTAATAGTTTGCATTGTGAACTCGAAATAAGTGGGTTCCAGGCTCATGTCCTAACTGTGGACTGTTGTGTTGAGTTTGCATGTTTTCCCTATGCATGCATGGCCAAAAAAAGCCAAATGCATCCATGTCTATCACAATCAGACAGGTTGGATTTAAAAGTACAGAGTCAAAGACTTCTTAAAGTAAAGTTCAAAAGCCATTTATTCCGTTCAACGGTCAGAACCAGCAAATCTAATTCTCAGGGCAGAGGTACTAAATACACTGGAAAAAAATAGCGATAAAAAGAATCAAGAATGAATCATTCATTCTGAGCATCAGTGAGGGGGAAATGCTGGAATGCTTACAGAAACTGTCAAGATGACCTGGCACAAAAGGGAAAGGGAACACACTGTATGTGCACAAGAAGAAGGAGAAAATGAGACACATCTCATTTATCATTTTCCTTCAAATGTATTATCCATGTGTCTTGTCCCATTTTTTTTCCCAATGTGTGTCAATTTAATGTCCCCTCTATAATTTGCAGAGACGTCTATCACAACATTGAAGCTTTGGACCCAGAAAAACTAAACGTATTCCGCACCGTCCGTGAGATTACTGGTGAGTACATCCTCTATGTCACACAAAGGTCCTAATACAAACTGATAAAAAATACAATAAAAAAATAAGTTTATCCTATCTATCTCTTTTAATGAGCTTTCATCCCATTCCTAAATTCATCTGCTATATTTGGTAATAGCGAGTAATTCTTGTGTGTACGTGTTTGCTTAAGTCAACCCCACCCCCTTCCCATGAGACCATCTCCACCAAGGACAGACATTGCAGCACAAGATGAATATGATATGTGTCTTTCAATCCCCACTGTCTCAATGCTTCTTCTCCCTTGGGGGCTCCCTAGCCTTGAGTCCCCTCAGTCTCAGCTCCCCCTTCACGCACCACAAAGAAAAGATCCAGGACATGTGGAGCGCATCCGTAAATCCTCCAGCTCCCCTACGCCACCGTTGCTTTTGAGCTGCATGTATGCTGTCATCTCTCCAGCCTAAACGTTTAACAATACCACAAAAATGACAAAAAGCCAGTGGCGGTGCTGCCCTCTCCAACTAAATGGGAAAATATTTCCACTGAGAAATATTCACAGAAGAACAATGGGCTTTAACAAATAGAGCTGAACATAAAGAAAGGTGCAGTTTTTTAAAATACAGCAATAATATAAATGTGAAAATAAAGTCTGTGTATACTACGCTAATTACATTCGTCAAATGTCAAATGGGTTACAACAACCACAGGAAAGCCCCGTTGTACAAATCATGGTGCAGAAACCTTTATAATTAAGACATACAACTTTATGAGCCTTAAATCAAGTCAGGTCTTTGTATGAATCATAAAAAATGGTTATTGCAATAACCGAACTTCAACACGACAAGCTGAAAAACCTGACTTTCAAGTTTGTTAGCTATTCATATATGTCTAGTGAAAGCAGTTGGAGCGGTTTCAGCGGAGCAGAAACCTGCGGCAATCGAATCAGATGTGTGTGTCGGCTCAGCTTGTTGTCTCTCACGGCTGTCAAGAGAATGTGACGTCTGATAGATTCAGCCAATGCGCCTCTTTGACCCTGAGGTCACAACTAACATGGCGCTAGCTTTCAGATGAGCTTCACGGGAGGACAGCTCCCACATGAGCACTCCCATATCTGCTTCCATGTTTTTCTTTTCCTCATTGTTTTTATTTTGTTGACTTCCCATTCGTCTCAAAGGATGTTTAAAGGCATCTCATCAGGTCAATCTGCACCCAAAGAACTGGCAATCATCACATGTAATTTAGCATGAGTGGGTTTATCGGTGTTGTGACTCAGAATGTAATCATCACAACTTAAGCACTCTTAACCTTTGCTTGTGAGCTCATGGCCTTCTTCACTAAGTGCCTCTGCAGTCCAATTTGCTGCGCTCACTGGTGTGTTGTTAATGAGGTTCTCGGCAGAATATGAACCACTACTGCTGTCGTGAAAAAAAAAAAAATCCCTCATTTTCAGAGCTGAGAATGGAACGGCACTAAAATACGAGATAAATATGCCAAGTGTCCATTATCAAGAATTAGTAAGATACATACAGGTCAAAACCATCTGACTGGCAGAAGACTCCTTAATCCCTGTTAATAAACATCTCAAAGGGTAACATCCTGCTTATTCTACTGTGTAAGATGTGTTACAACTGAGCTTACCCTTTTACACGTGAGGGTTTATTTCAAATTTGGAACAATCATACCCTCTCAAAGGTTAACTATGTAGAACAAACCATAACAGGTCTGATCATTGCATTTCACATGTGTGACTTTGTAGTAGTCCTTTCTCTTGGATCCATTAGAAAGGACAACTTCAACTAATACAGGACATGTTATCAGAATATGATTTTCTTGCTGCCTGTTTGAAGGAATATATTAACGTAAAGACAAGCTAGTTTTGTTTAGATAGATACCCTGTATAATACCTTCATGGGATTCAGAAATGTATTTTAAAAATGTTGGAATGTATCCAACCTAAAGTGTCCTTCTCTGTATCCACTGAGATATGCTTTATTTATCAGTGGGGGGACCTTTGTCAGTATCGGTCACCATAGTCCGGTTCTAGTCGCAATACTGACAACTGTGTTTGCACAGTAAGGTGCTTGAATGTTGTGATGTAAAGACTGAGTCCAACTGTTGTGCAATCACTGAAATGTATGAGTCCAACTCTCTGTATTTTAACCCTCTTGCCAGTATTTCATTTTGCGAATGTTTCATCAAGAATGAGTCATTTTCAGGACTATATATATATATATTTTTTTTAAAATCTTTTTATCTTGTGAGATGTGATTTGCTAATTAGGTTTGATACTTGGATGGCATCCTGACTTGATAATCAGTAGACAAAGGGACCGTCTAATAAGAGACTATTGTGACTCTATGGTCAACCCTTACCTTCTGCCACAGAGTAAATAAGAAAGCTCCATGATGTTAGGATGCAAATCTGTCGTTTATAGGACCTTTCCTGGGATCACTGTTGCACACATTGTATTAGTTGATCATTTAACCATAAAGAAGCACTTAAAAAAAAAAGTTTGCTATTCAGTAATCTTGTTGCTGTAATAAGCTGCTGTAAAGCAGTTTTTTAACATCAAGCCTCCCAAGCTAAATGACCATTTTGGTCATCTTAAATTCGACCCATAATGGCATCTGTAAAGTTCCACCCCCACAAATGGAGGGACAAAATGACAACTCATATGTGTTCACAAACCAGCGCACACATCAGTTTGAATTCTCTCCACACATAGCTATTAGGAGGTGGGAGGCTGGAAAGCTGGATGATGCATTGCACACAGATTTAAGTCATTATTGTCTTAAAGATCAATGTTTGTTAAGTAACTGTGACTTTTGTTGGTCACACACAGCCATCACAATTACATTTTTTCACTTCCTGGTTGGGTTTGAGCAATAATAGTGGTTGGATAGGGTTTAGAAAAATGATTGCAACGCAACATATAATGCATCCTTTTTTATCTACAACCATCATCCATATGGTCATCTTTGCTGTAGCAGTTACTCTCACAAATACCAGTAACTAAATATTCATCAGATTTAATTATAGATCATATCTTCCCACATGCTTTATGCAGTGATATTTGGGGGAAGGACTGTCTCCGAACTGGACAATTGCGTTCAATTGATGAAACTCTTACAAGCTTGTGACTGATGAACTGTAGCTAAATGGAGCAGTCTTACATGGTCCAGCATCCTCCTGTCCAGTGATCATACTTGCTTCTCTATGAAGTCTGTCCTTTTGTTTTTATGGACTACACTGAGGTCATTTTTACAACCTAAGGGTTTAGTCTCGTCCCGAATAGTATTTTAAATCAGATAAACATAATGATTTTTGTGTATGCAAAATTATACACAGAATTATATGACTCGTATAATTAGGTTGTGAATGATTCACATTCTGACTACACTGTGTTGTTCTCTAAAATCGACATTGAAATGGTTTTGTTAAGGCATGAGGAAAGCCAGCAAAGCACCTGCATTCCCCATGTGTTTAATTCTTCTGCAGTTGTAGAAATGCTCCTTAAATTGTCTTTCAGGGCCACTTTGTCACTTTGTTAGATGACTGGGTATGTTGCTTTAGGTTCTCAATCAACCAGGTCATAGTCAGCCTAAGAGCTTGAGCAAAGGCAACTGGGCATGTCTCTTTTTAATCGGTGGTTTTCGGCTGAGGCAAATAGTTGTGGATTTTATGACGGTGATATCATTGATTGATAGACGATGTGCCTACTCACCACTTCTGTACAATCATGTGTGTGATGATGCTCCAATCTAAAAGTTCAAAGCAATCTTGTAAAGCTCTAGTGGCTCCCTCTGGCCAGACACTGACCCATTTTTTTGCTAGCCTGGGTAAATCTATTTGAGTAGAGGCTGGTGTCAGGTCAACAGTAGAGAAATCAGGCAAAGTGACCAAAGTGACAATGAAGGCTGCCTTCTATGTCTCTATGAATATCTATACAGTATGTAAACCAACTTCAGTACTGATTTCCAATTTAAAGGTCTGACGGCACTGCACATTGTACAGGGGTTTTACTAGAACAACACAAATTAGAAGCACCAACAAAATCTGGCAAAATGTCAAGTATAATATACAAATTCTTCTCAATAAAAAAAACAATTACATTTAATTTTGAATAAATTTGAGAGGATTATTTCTGCTTCCAGTTAAAAGTTTAACAAAGCGAGTGAATATAAAGTCATGATCAATATAAAATCATGATATCTCATCATGATTTTAAAATCATGATATCTCATCATGATTTTATATGGTATGGAAATTAAAGATACATGTTCAAAAATGGTTACACAACCTCACTGTCCTGTGACAAAATGTCATTGTGCAATTGCATTCATTTCACTCCTTTAAAGTTCCTAAGCATTGAATGCTTTGTCATTAGGACAGTTTACGTTGATGGTTGCAAGACTAACTAATAACCATAGCACTGCTGCCTCTGGGCTAAAATGTGCTCAGAGTTTCATAAACGACACACCATGACAAGCAAATCGGATGAATCCCAATGGTGGAATTGGCTTTTACTACCAACCATTTCCCAGCTGTTTCTTTTATTTGTTATAATCTTTCACACTGTTTTTTTAGATGTATTTATTTATTTATTTATTCAATGGTTAGCATTTTTACACTCTTGGAGTCAAGTGTTTCCAGCGTGAGGATGTTTTTAATTTTTCTCGTGACACTTGTTTAAACCATTGTGTGTGATTTCTGGGAATCACTTGCCCTTTCAATGTAACAATTTTTACAAGATTTTTTACACCTCATGAAATGGTCTTACTATGTACTGTAAACTTGTATACATCTGGTGGGAGGAAATTATTCATAAACTGGCAAGTATATTATCTTGTTTGATTGGAGATTATTCCATTTATCCCATCAAAATCGCGTAATTTCTTTGTTTGATTTCATAACCTTATCCCGACTTTTTGATTGTCTTCTGGTGTTGGTTTGGTAATGGTTCTCACCCATTGTTGCACTAAATATTTCATATCTCTAAATTCATTATTAAAAATCCTAAATGAGCCACTGCCATTCTCTCAGCTTTTCATTTAATCCTCTAAATGATTCAACAGAAGAGAGACCAAGAAGAAAAAACACAAAAAAAACTTTATATTTCAGACTTTACACTTGTATTCTACACCCAAGTCTCCCATGGAATTGCCTTGCTGATACTGTATGCTCAGCTACTTTTTGATGGGACCCATATGGTGTAGTCACTTTGGTGGTGAATATTGCTAATTCTATAGAGACAACACTTCTATCTTGTCAAATCATCCTTGTCAGTGTATAAAATAGACATATTGATTCTAGTGTGTCTTTTCAGGAGACATATTGTAAACTGTGTTTTTTTGTGTTCTTTAATATCCTTTTAGGGTACCTTAACATCCAGTCTTGGCCAGACAACATGACTGACTTGAATGTTTTCTCCAACCTGGCAACTATTGGGGGACGAGCGCTCTACAGGTATTGCTAACGTAATAGCTGGGACTTAATATGCCCATTTTAATTTGGTTTATTTTGATTCATTGCTCAGTTAGTGTAAATAGTAATAATGATGGTTCGAGGGTTTATTAGAAAAAGCAACTGGACATCCATGATGTCTTTTTCAAGGAAGACTTTAACACTGGCAATGCATGTTATGATGCACCAAAGATTTGGTGCATCATAACATGATAAATATGACAAAGTAAACCCAAGACAGCTAAATTGCTAGAATCCAATATATAATAACAATCCATCAACGTTCCTCTGCCAGTGAGTGCTGTCATCAATTCTTTAGGTATTTCGAAGCTGTTAAACCTAGGTAAGCACGGCCCTTTGCAAATATGTGTTTTTTGCCTGCAAAGCTTAAGGAATAATACAATGCGTAACTTTCTGTGTTTAGATAGATTCCCCATGTTTTGTTGTGAGAAAAAATATATTAATGAGATTTCTGAAAATGCCTGCATTTTGTTTTGATGTACAACTTTCGCCCCAAGTATTATTTGTATTTATTCTAATCATGTTTTCTATTTATTTAAAAAAAAAGTAATTACTTAAAACAGCTTTAAGAGAGATCAGTAGTAGTAAATTAAATATTTTTCCTTTTTTCTGAGGAATAATTTTCCAGGATAAAATAAAACGATAGGTAAAAAACAGCAAAAAGCTATATAAAAATTAATTATCCTTGAATTTGATAATTTTAATAGAAATAAGCAAGTCTTAGCCTGTTTTTAAGAACTTTTTTCACCTCAATATTCTCCAATATAATGTTAAAGTTACCTCAAAGCGTGGTTTAACTCACGGATAAAAGATTATTCAAATATAAGCAATGTTAATTAGAAAACTGTTGTTTTCAGCAAGTGTAACTGAATATGAGACTTTAGATGATACTTTTTGAAGTTTGTACTTATCTCATTGACCTTTACATCATTGCAATCTCTGTTCATCTACCAGTTGCATTTAATGTAGCCTCATTTATATATTTAGATTTTTGTTATAGCTTCATTTTGTGAATTAACATCAAATATGGTGAGGTTGGCCAGGCTTCTATGATTTGGTGCTCTGCATTCATAATTTGCCAAGTGCAGTTTTTACTGCCAAAGAACATTGTGCTTGGAAATTGTTTGTAATGGTTTTATTTTTGACATTTAAGAACTTAGCTGTTTTAAGCTGATAGGACATAATTATTTATCAGTAACATTTCACCGTTTTTGCAAAAGTGCTCTAAAAATGTGTAGTGGCATTTGGATGACAACAACGTGACAGTTGGCTGATGTATGCGTGTGTGGATGCCTGTGTCAGCGTGTGTATTTGCACTGCACCTGCCCACAGATGGAAACAGCAGGCTGTAGTACAAATTGCAGCCTGCCACCCACCTTTGCCCTGTGCTTGATCCTTCATACTCTCTGTCTACCTGATGGCTCTGAAACCCCACTGGTCTCTTGTCACATTTAAACTGTGCAGATGGGGAATAGAAGGAAAGCTGAAGGTATGAAAAGAAAGAAAGAAAGAAAGAAAGAAAGAAAGAAAGAAAGAAAGAAAGAAAGAAAGAAAGAAAGAAAGAA